CTTAAATAAAGAAGCTGGTATAGATGCTCCAAGGAAAAATGCAGGAAGTTGGGCTGACATGGTGGAAAAAGAGCAAAGTATTCCTGTGGATAGTTCTAAGCAGAAGGAAGTGGGGATGTCTGAACTGAAGGACAAGTCTATAAAAGAACACAGGTCTTTTGTGGTTAACAAGGAAGTTTGGGAAGAAGCTAAGCAGGAGATTCATGCATATATGTCCAAAATAAAGATGGAGATGGGATTGCAAGAGTTTGAGAAAAGAAAAGGAGAAATAGTGGAAAAAACAAAGGCCTTATATTTGGAGAAGCTAAAAGAATTATCAAAACAAGGTGGGAAGGACAAGGAGGCTAATGTACCTGATCAAGGGGATGAAGAGGAAGGGTCTGATCCAGGGGCTGCAGAAGAGGGGTTTGAGGCAGAAGATGAAGCCTCCCAGGATCTTGAAGAATCTGAGGAGGAAGGGGACAGTGAAGAATATGAGGAGGAAGGGGAGGGATATCTTGAGGATTGTCAGGTGTGGATGAGTGAGGTGCTAGAGAATGTAACCTATGAGTGGATGGATGGGGTGTTGAAGGTCATAAAGTCCTATATGGATGTGGTCTATGATAAAAAAGAAAAAAGGCATGTGGAGGATGAGGATGACATGGCTAGGAAGGCTTGCACTATCTTGATGGAATTAACCAAGGCTGAGTTGGATGTGGACTGTATTGATCCAACAACCAAGTTGGGATGCCAACTAAGGGCAAATCTAGAATGGATAGGAGGGAAGATTTGTAGATGGGCATGGAGAAGACATGGCCCAGGTTACCATCATGAAAGCTGAACACTTTAGATAGCAGCAGTCTATTGGGGAGGATAACTGCTGCTGTGACCTTAAACCCCCCCCCCCCTTCGGATTGGTGAGAAGTTGAGGTGAGTCTGCAGAAGGTGATGTAGGAAGTTCTGCCATGGGATTGATCTCACACTGGGAAATGATGTCCCATGTAAGCAAAAGAGCTAGGCTGAGTTTGAAAGTGGAAGGCATAACCTCTGAGGGCCTGGGAAGCTGAATGGGAAGGAAAAGAGTTTGCAGTCGAGTTAAGCTATGAGAGCTGCAAATCTGAGTTGAAGCTGACCTGCAATTGGGGATAGAAATATTTTGTGCAAGTTTCAGAATTTGGGAGGAATAAGGCTGGTCCACCAAGCTTGGTGGACCAATGGACTTTGATGAGCTAGAAAAGTGGTCATATAAGGTGCAACACTGTTCTAAGGCTTTCAGAGTGGAGGAATAGGCTGCCATGGGATTGATCTTGCTCTAAGATATGATTTCCCATGCTCTGGAACTTCTGATGAGTATAGGCATGGTTTGGAGGTATAAGGAGGGCCACCATTTTGGTGGTCTACGAGAGTGTGGGTTCTATGGTCCATTTTAAAGCTTATTAAGTGGAGGAATGGACTATTCTGGAACGGATTCTTAATTGGAAAATGATGTCTCAGACTTGAATCCAATGGACTAGATGAATGCTTGGGCTTCATGATGGTTGCAGATCTGTTGGGGCAAGAGGCGGTACGCTCGAAGGATGAGAAGTGGGCTAATTAGTTATGGCCGAATGGCACTTTGGTTTAATAAGGAGGCTGGGCTAATTATTTAATTAGCCCAGTGTGGTGGTTTATGAATAAGATGGAGCAGTGGCATGATTTATGGAGGGCCATCTGAATATTAAAAGAATGGGCTAGGCCTGGAAATTTATAAGAAGGGGCTGCGTGGATGATTGAAGTGGCTTAATGGGCTTGATGAGCCCATCTGGCTTTATATGGCCTTTGGGCCGGTTGGAGACAAGGGAAGGCTGCTGGGCTAATTTAAATGAATTGGCCCAGTGGCCACTGGATATGGAGACTGGGCCAATTATTTAATTAAGCCCAGTGTGTGAGGGAGCTTGTGGGCTTGTGTGGCATTTCTGGGATAAAAGGCCGTGATGGCCCTTTGATTTATTTAGCCAAGTATGGCTCTTTAGTCAAATTATGACCTGGACCCGTGTCCACATTGAATTAATTTGCGCGCGTTTTGCCGTTAACGGCGTTAACGGCGTTATTTTTTTTTTTTGGATTATGAATGTACAGTTATGCCGTTATGAATGTACAGTTATTCCATTATGAATATACAGTTATGCAATTATGAAATTATGAACACAGAGCTCTAACATTATGAACTTACAATTATGAACATATATAGTGATAAAATTATGACCATGGAGCTTTAAAATTGTGAATATAGAGCTTCGAAGATTATGAATGTACAGTTATCGAGTTATGAATGTACAGTTATAGAGTTATGAATCTACAGTTATGGAGTTATGAATCTACAGTTATGAGATTATGAATCTACAGTATGGAATTATGAATGTACAGTTATTGATCAAATTATAAACAAAGAGCTCTAACATTATGAACTTACAATTATGAACATATAGTGATAAAATTATGAACATAGAGCTCTAAAATTGTGAACATAGAGCTTCGAAAATTATGAATGTACAATTATGGAGTTATGAATGTACAGTTATGGAATTATGAATGTACAGTTATGGAGTTATGAATGTACAGTTATAGAGTTATGAACGTACAGTTATGGAGTTATGAATGTATAGTTATTAACATATAGTAATAAAATTATGAATATATACTCTTACAATGAAGCAGTCTGAAATTAAAAAAAAAAAAAAAAAAAAAAAAAAAAAAAAAAAAAAAAAAAGAAGAAGAAGAAGAAGAAGAAGAAGAGATAACAGTGCCTAACGGCACTGTTACCCGTGTCCAGCAAGCATGCTGGACACGGGTCCAACGCATAACGATTGGGCTCTTTAGCCTGGGTGAAGCAGCGTGTGGCTGTTAGGAGAGATGGAAGGGGGCTTGGGCCTCTTCTTTGAGCATGGCCGAATGGCCTCAAGGCCTATGGGCCATTTATTTTTGTTAGCTTCGGCTTGTGTCTAGATGGCCGAATGGCCAGGTGTTTGTTTAGGCTAGAATTAGCCTTGTTTTGTTTGAGGCTCTTGGGCCTTTGTGTTGGGTGGTTACTTTTGAGCCACCCTTGTACATATTACATACTCTTTGTGAGTCATGGCTCATTTTTGGGGCCATGGCGTCTTTGTAAAGGCATTTGCCTCTTTTGATATATGGTACAGTTTGGAAAAAAAATTAAAATAATAATAATAATAATAATAATTTGTGGCAATTAACTACAAGCTAAGCTAAGCTAAACTATACACCACAATTCAATTATCTTAGCTTGTACGTCCTCTCATGCTTAAAACAAAATTACTACTCAGTATTCAATATTTATTTTTTCTTAATTTTAAATAAACGATTCAATTAAGCATTAATAAAACATTATATTGTCCTATATATGTATTTTTCTTTTGAACAGATTGCTGATGATGAAAAGTACATTTTCTTGTGTGGAGGCAATAACATTAAACGAGTTCTAGAATTTGTATTTAAGGTACAAGAAGTTTGTTCCAAATTTTAAATAAATATGAAAATTGCATACGTTGGAAGAAGAGGAAGAAAAATGGTTAAAGAGGTGAGCAAAGCATGTGATTATGAATTTGAACCTTATGATATTAAGTGGTTTTGGACACGACTTTATAGTGTGACCTCATCTAGGATCCAATATTTGAGTAAGGTTGGAATTGATGAAAGAAGTGATGAAATTTTGCAAAGACTTGGAAAATTATTATCTTATGGAGATGAATGTACAACAATTGGATCATGGGCTTTGTTGGGCAAAGGGAAAAGAATAATTGGATGTGATATGGGAGACAAAATGTTACAAGTCGTGAATGAGTATGAGAAATGGGAGAACAATGTACATGCCGATGATTTTGAACAAGCATTCAAGGATTGCTATGAGATGCTTAATAGTTCTTCTTCTCCTTCCAATCAACACTCTTGTTGTGCTCTCAATCACTCATCTAATTTGGATAAAATTCCAGAGGCTGTGCCCTGCCCTCAATGTAACCACAACATGCATAAATTTGTCACTTTCTCCTGCTGTCATGGGCCGACCAATTATTTTTATTATCCACAGGATGAAGACTACAAGAAATAATACTAGATTTTATGTTCCACTTGCACTGGCTGTTAGAGTTGTTGTGGTTCATGGTCTTCATGTGCAGATTTTGTTTTTTTTTTTTTTTTTTTTTTTGTTTTTGTTTTTTTTTTTTTAATATAGCATTCAATACCCCCCCCCCCCCCTTCCTTAGTTGGTATGGAAAGCATGCACCAGGAACCAATTGTTGTATTGAATGCTATATTAAAAAAAAAAAAAAAAAACAAAAACCAATTGGTGTATGCTTTCCTTTACTGCTATTTATTTCATGTTATTTATTATATCTGGAATATGTTTTCATCTAGTCCAGCTTTATAATTGAAATAAAATTAAAGTTATTAAAAGACTAAATCTTGCATTCAAGACTCACGTGTTTTTTCACTTTCAAATACTGTTGTTGCACAATACTAACAAATTAGGATTTGATCATGTATTGTATTCACAAATTCCCTTCTACAGTTGTTATGTGTTTTGCCTTAGAAACATAATTTATATATTCAAGAAGTTCACAATATCAATAAGTTAACGGATTATATTAGCGGATTTGACCTAACGTTATAATAATAATAATAATAATAATAATAATAATAATAATAATAATAATTATTATTATTATTATTATTATTATTATTATATTAAAAAAATAAAAATAATAAATTAATAAAAGAAATAAAATTAAAAAAAAATAAAACATATTCGGTTCCCCTTAATTTTGTCACTTTTCCTACATGGAGTGGGAAATGTGGTATGAGAACCTTGAGGCTCCTATAAAAGGAGCCCTAAAGCTCTAATTTAAAAATTAAACTTGGCATCCGCCTATCATTTGCCGACGCAGGAAATCTCATGTGAATTCCAAGCGAAATCAAGAAAATCTGTCGGAAGAATTTTCTTGTTATTTCTGTTTCAATTCGGTGAACATAAAAGCTGCGGAAAATTTCTCAAAATTTTCAAATTGTTCTCTGCATAGAGATGAATGAGCAATCTGCGTGGATGATGAATCAACAGCAACAGCAGCAGATGATGAGTATGAGCCAGAGCCAAATGATGGGGATGAATTCGCATCCGCAGTTACAGCAGCCGCCGGTGAGCTACGGGATGTGGCCACAGGCGCCTCAGGGGAAGCAATCGAAACCACTGCGACCACGGAGTAATTGGAAGGGTAAGAAAATGAATAAGATTGACAAGAGAATGGATGTAGGAAGAAGGAATGAGAAGTCGATGCTCATCGGTACTAAAAAGAAGGCCCGAAGATTTTTCCCTAAAAAGAAGTTTCATAATTTGAATTTGAATAATAATAATAACAACAATAGGGATGCACCCTTTGCTCCTCGGAATACAACATCATTTATTATCAGGGCAAAGAAGAGTGGTGGGATTGCTTCATTAGTCTCCCCATATCTTGTGACACCGGCTGTGCTTCCAACACCTAATTTCTCCCCATCAAGGGAAGTTGTGGTGGATATGGCTAAGGAGGAGTGGGGATTGGATGGATATGGATCAATGAAGGGTTTGATTAGACTGAGATCTCCTGGTCATGAAGATGAGGATGAAGAGGATGGAGAGCCTAGTGAGAGTGATGTGGAGGAACATGTTGAGATGGAAAGAAGGTTGGACCATGACTTGAGCCGTTTTGAGATGATTTATCCAAACCATAGTGCAGACTACAACAACGTTTTGGAGAACTTAATTCTCAAGGAGAGGCTGTTGTTGATGGAGAGAGAGTTGAATTGGGTGATCTGATCTGAGGAGGAGATTGCAGAGTCTTGAGAGGCAGAATAATGGAGAAGCAGTGGCAAATGAATCTGATAGTGAAACTGTAGATAACAATGTAGAGAACGAAGATGTAGGTGTGAACCTAAAATCAGATAACACTAATGAAACTGCTGAGAGTGAATTGAAGGGAACATTATATTAATTATATTGTTAAAGGAACTCAGCAACACTGGAATAATGAGACTTTTGAATTGAAGAAGCTGAGGCTGATGACAATATAAATATATAATGGAGCTAAGGCTGCAGAAAGCAAGCACAAGAAGAGTGACATGGATTTGCAAGAGAAAGAAGACAAGAAGCAACAGGATGTTGACATGAAGGAAGACACTGATAGACTCATTGTTGAGAATGATGAACTCTCTCTTGTTGATGTTAGTATGTATCAAGGAGGCTTCTCACATATTTGAGTGTATATTGTGCAATGAAACTGTAGTTATATCGAAAGGATAATGTAGTTGTGTTTTAGTGAAACTACAGTGTATATATAAAATAAAATTAAATAATATTTTCACATATTTGAGTGTATAAATATCGAATGAAACTGTAGTTATATGGAAATGAAACTGTACTTGTGTTGAAATGAAACTGCATTGTATACAAAATGAAACTGAATAACAGAGTTACTTTTTGTGGAACGGCGCGAAACGGGTGTCGTTTCTTTTCATTAAACAAAATGACGTCGTTTAGAATAATCCATTATGCACCGCGGTGCACGATATAATTTGGCCTCTTTTATTGTTTGTTTATACTTTTGCTAATATAATTTTTAAGTAATCAATTTCAACACTAATATACAACAAATCTTATAATTTTAAATAAATATACTCTTTTAAATATTAGAAATTATTTATAATTTCATCATTAATTTTAAGGGGATGTATTGAATTATGAATTTTATAGAGTTTTAAAGACTTTTAAAATGATTGATTTTAATAAACTTTGATTGACTTTCATAGGGTCGTTCAAAACTTTGTAAAACTTTATAAGACTCTATAAAAGTCTATATAAAAAACATTCATAGACTTTTATCAACTTTTTATTTTAAAAAGTCTACAAAAATAATTGAAATTCTAAATTGAATACATCCTTACAAACTTTCAATGATTTTGATTCTTATCATTTATAATTTTCTTAGAAAATATTTATAATATATCATAAAATTCTTCTTATTATGTAGTTCTTCACCCACATCAACATTTTCAACATTGTTATTTTTATCATAGTATGTTGAGACTTATATGCTAATTACTTATATATATTATTAATAAATATCAACAAAAAAACTATTTCATTAGAAATTCATAACAATATTGAACAATAAAATTTATAATAAAAGAATTGATCAGATAAAATATTTAAAAATATTATTACAAGTTGCATAAAATAAAAAATAAAAATCTAATATTAATAATATATATATATATATATATATATATATATATATATATATATATATATATATATATATATATATAATTATACTTTATATATTGTTAGGCATCACGCAAAAACTATTATTTGCAATAGTAATTTGAGACTGCGAACAACAACAAGGTGCTACTGTTTGCAACACCAAATTGTTGTTGCTAACAGTAGTTCGCTGTTCTTAGTAACCTGTTGTTAAAAAAATGAAAAATATATATTACGAATATAAACAAATAAAGAATACTGAAATAGTACCGTGACACTTGAAATATAAACGTTATGTGTTTTTATATGTTAATAGAGTTATGCACCAATTTAGTTAATTAATTTAACCTCTTTTAAGCAAGTATAAATAATAACTGTAGTAAACATAAAGAAAATTAAAAACACAAGGAAATTGTTATGCAGTTCAGAGCTCCTTCTCCTACGTCTGTGGCGCAACCCACGTCTGCCCAATCCACTATAGATGTTCACCAAAAGGAGTATTACAAGAGGTAAATGAAGACGGCCTCCAGCCTTTACCACTACCACTCTTTCTAACACCTATCCAGGACTGACACACGAATACCCGAACAATCTTTCACAAGTTGCTTCAGCAGTACCACGTACTCATCATGCAGTACAGTTTAAATACTCTTAATAATTAAATCAGAAATTACATTAAACCATAAATTGCTTGTAAATTCAGAATAGCTCTCGCAATGTGTAATAATCAAATTGGCAATGTCTTCATTCGAGCAGTGTCCTTTTATAGTGCTTCATGAGCCTCTTTGTTTGATCCTCAATTGTAGCCTCTTCCTTAGCCTTTCACTGTTCGAATAAGCCACAGCCACCCATTTTTTTCTTTGAAAACTTCACCGTAGACTTAATGAAACAATTCATGCTGACCACTAACTTTATACTCACATGGTCCATAAATAATTAAAACTAGCAACACTAATTTAATTTAAATCTAGTAAGACCAATAAAATAGCCAATAGTGTAAATTTATTTTACACTTACAATCTCCCCCTTTGGCATTTTATTTGGAAAACTTGAGTATCAAATACTTTGGGCAAGAATCAATTTAAATTTTATTTATGGCCCTTAGTATAGGTACTTAACATGACATAGAAATTTAAACTCAAACATTAACAAATTAAGATCTTTTGGACCACTTGTGAGTAGAGAACCTAATTGGAAATCTTCAATTCTTGAACCACACACAGAAACATTTAAATCATAGCATACCAAATCAACGATTAACTTGTGCATGTGAGAAACCATACCAAAAATATCCATACAGTTAGTTAGGAGCACCAACCAATACTATTACTCCCCCTAACTAATATAAGTACATTATTACCATACTGACTAGCATAAACACTTCCAAAAATAGCTAATACTAACAACCACTGCCAAATAAAACCGTAGTAATCCAACAATGCAGTAGTAGTCATCCAAAAACCAGAAGATTTCAAAGTACTAAATACTCCCCCTTTCTCCTAACTCCCCCTTTTGCCAAATAAATGACAAAGGTAGGTGAACATCAAAATAGTGGATTAGAGTTACCGTGCAGACGGGGTGCCTGAGTCAGAACCATCTTCTTCATCTTCAGAGTCAGTATCTGATGATGCAGCCCTAGTGTCAGCTATAATCTGAGCGTGAATAGCTTCCATGCGGGCGATTTCTTGGAGCTGTGCATCACGGAGATTGGCAAGACCCGAGATGGTGGATTGTTGAGAAGCAACTGATTGCTGAACCTGAGCAATAGAGGCCTCAAGAGTGAGCACAATCTGCCTACGATCAACCAGTGTTGGGGGTTCTTTGGGAACCAGTCTTGAGCCTGGACGAGATGTTGACGCAGTGTCAGTAGATGAAGCAGGGGCAGAGACTAGTGGCGCCGGAGGTGGAACAGCAGGTAGCTGATCAAGAGAAGCCCGATCATCATAATGGCCCTTCTGTGTAAGTCGATCATCAAAGATATACACATTGTCCGTAGTTGTAATCACTTCTTCCTTGTAGGGTTTGAAGCCGTGGTCTTGGAGTACCCCATAAATCAAGCACGGGAAAGGGAGATGGATCTTTGCTTCCTTTTTCTGCAAAAAAGACATAAGATGAGAAAATATGACCATTCCCAGATTGAATGGTAGACGGTTCCTGATCTTGTAGAGTAGGCCAGCGAGATGTTCTGGAACTAGGTGGCGACGGACTGCTAGGACCCAATTGGCTGAAGCAAGGCGGAGAAGCACGGAGTAAAATGTTGTGAGCTTCAAGCTAGAAAGTCCATCACTCGGCCATGAAACTACTTTATTATGAGTGAGAGCTGCGGCCAACAAGTGAGGGCTAAGATCCGGAGAAACAGGATGATTAGGCGTGCCCAAATACGCATTGATCTCAGTTGGCCCGAATGGATACCAAGTGCCACGAATGAAAACCTGATGAAATCGAGCCGATCCTTCAGTGAATGTGTCCAAAGTCAAATTTGTGTAAAATTCTGCTGTCAGCCATGTGGAGTATGGACCAATGTGGCGTAGAGAGGCTAGCAAATGTTGATCACGCAGCAGCGGGATAATATTGCACTTGGCAGCCAAGTCCTCTTCATTGATAGATTTTTCAACGATGAAAACACGGATGACATGAGTCTTCCAAACCGCAAATAAATCGGGGGACAGAAGATGTGGCTTGTAAACCTTGCTTGATCCTTTCGATTTGGAGCCGGATGGTGTAGGAGCAACAGATGAGTCAGCTTCGGCTCGTGACCTAGTGGTGCGGGGTGGCAGTGTGGAACCACGCCGTTGTAGTTTCCGGTCAGTCTGAGTTTCAACATTGTCCAATTGAGACAATCCTCTCTTTTCTGCAGTACCTGAAACAGATATTTTCTCTTTTCCCTTTCGGGAAGTTTTAGCAATAGGAACAGATATTATGGGAACCGATTCTTGAGTAGATGAAACAGGAATGGGTATTGGATCAGAGTGACTTTCAGACGCAGCAATAGTAATGGGAATAGAAAAGGCTGAACATGACACAGTTGGAACAGACACATGTTGGGCAACATCTCGAATGGAATAAGCAGATGGCAAGGATTTTACTAAGTCAGATAAAGCAACTAAATCAACATTTTCCCTAGGCAAATTGTGAGACAAAGGATCATAAGGATCACCAGGTACAGGCAGATTTTGAACATCAAAAACATCATGAGAGAGGGGAGACACAAATTGAGCAGGCAAAGATACATCAAAATCAATTTTTCTAGATGTGTTTAAAGGTGAAGAATGGGTAGGAAGTACCACTGTCGGAGGAGAGGCAAGAGTCGCTGGACCGGGAGGGATGGAATCTGGGACAGCGGCTGACACAGGTGGAAATGGCCAAGGTGTGGCGGAGATATGGTGAGCTAGAGCAAGCATTTGCCTCTTTTCTTTGTCCGTGAGCCCTTCTAGTAGAAAACCATCCGATTTGATTGTAGCAAGAATTCTATCGGTAGCTTCAGGAGATAAGGGAGACTCGGCATCAATGATTTTTCGAAAAAGATTGGCTCTTTCGGATCGAATTACGAAGGTGAGAAACGGATTTTCCATGGGTGTAGCTTGTAGAGAGCAACAATGGTGGACGGTGAAGAGATGAAGATGGCGGTGGTGTTCTCGGGTTAGAGAGGAAGACCAAGAGAGACAAAATTAATGGGTTGATGCGATGTATGGCTTGAAAAGGCGTGAGAGATTGATGGTTAGGATAGATATAATGATATTAATAGGCGTGTAGATGAGTGGAAAAAGGAGAGTTTGATGGTGTTTGACTAGAATTAGTCTTCTATGGGACAACCGAACAAGAGAAGAATAAAACACCCCAAGAAAAAATTAGTAGATCATATATAGATAAATACGATCGGAAAAAAATTCCAAACACTTTCGTATCCCTTTGTCCCTGGTAACAAAAACACACACGTTAAACAATTAATCAGTTAGTTCAAAAATAAGAGAAACAACAAAAAAAAAATAAATTAAAAAAAGTACTTGCTGGAGAATTTAGACATTAATCGTACAAACTCCGAGGGCTGCACGAAGTAGTTCAAACCTGGATTTATCTAATGGTTTCGTAAATAGATCGGCAAGATTTTTGTCAGTAGGAATGTATTCTAACTTAATTTTTTTTTCTTCAACTAGTTCACGGATGAAATGATGACGGATGTCTATGTGCTTCGCCTGGGAGTGTTGGACCGGATTTTTAGATATATTGATCGCATTCGTGTTGTCGCAGAAGATGACCATATTTTTCTGATCAAACCCGTAGTCGGACAGCATTTGACGCATCCAAAGCAGTTGAGTACAACAACTGCCTGCAGCTATGTACTCCGCTTCTGCAGTGCTAAGCGATATTGGATTTTGCTTTTTACTCAGCCAGGCAACCAGAGTTTTCCCAATAAAGAAACATCCTCCGGACGTGCTTTTTCTATCATCGGCGTTACCAGCCCAGTCAGCATCACTAAAACCTGTAAGACTAAGATTAGTGCCAGTGGAATACCAAATACCATAATTAATTGTACCTTTAACATATTTTATAATACGTTTGACTGCCTTCAAGTGCGATTCTTTTGGATCCGCTTGATAACGTGCACACATACCAACACTTACCATGATGTCAGGTCTACTAGCAGTTAGGTACAGTAGACTACCAATCATACCTCTGTACAATGTGGAATCAACTGAAGTTCCTTAAGTGTCTTTAGATAATTTTGTAGTTGTTGAGACGGGTGTCCGGGCATCTTTCGCAGATTCAAGACCGAATTTTGATATGAGAGTTTTTGCATATTTCGCTTGAGAAATAAAGATCCCTTCTTTTGTCTGATTGACCTGTAATCCTAGAAAGTAATTCAGCTCTCCGATCATACTCATTTCGAACTCTTGTTGCATAACTTTGACCAGTTTGTCCGTTTCACCTGTCTGTGTGGACCCAAACACAATATCATCAACGTAAACTTGTGCAATGGTTATGTGTTTACCTGATCGTTTTATGAACAAGGTTTTGTCCGAACCTCCTCGTTTGTAATTATTCTGAAGTAAATATTGGGCAAGTCTTTCGTACCAGGCTCTTGGAGCTTGTTTTAGCCCGTATAGAGCTTTTTGAAGCTTGTATACATATTCTGGATGTTGCGGATCTTCAAACCCTTTTGGTTGTGCAACATATATCTCCTCAGTGAGATAGCCATTTAGAAAGGTTGTTTTAACATCCATCTGAAAGAGCTTGATCTTTAAAGCACAGGCAATGTAGAGTAGCAATCGGATGGATTCCAGGCGAGCCACTGGAGCAAATGTTTCGTCGTAGTCGATTCCCTCGATTTGGGAATACCCTTGAGCGACTAGTCTTGCTTTATTTCGAGCGATATTGCCGGTTGCGTCAGTCTTGTTTCGAAAAATCCACTTTGTACCTACAACATTTACATTATTCGGTTTAGGAATTAGAGTCCATACCTTGTTCCTTTCGAATTGCCCCAATTTTTCTTGCATGGCCTTGATCCAGTGTTCGTCGGTTAAGGCTTCTTTGATATTCTTTGGTTCAATCTGCGATGTATAACAAGAGTATCCAGCTAGTTCAAGATAGTCGCACTTTGGTTTACCTCTAGTTTTCACACCTGAACTAGGATCTCCAATTACATTTTGGATCGGATGATTTTTCTGGATACGAGTTGGAATATCAATATCATCATGATCATTTTCTGATTCTGTCTCAGGTTCAGATTCGGGTTGATTGAAGATGGGCGATGAGGTAGGTGTCTCATGGTCTGGTTCTGGAGTACCTGCGTCAGGAGTTTTAGGTCGGTCAGTTTCAGGTTCTGTCACTGGATCAGATTGGATAACTTCAGTAATCTCACTAGGTTGATCATCAATGACGATATTTGTGGACTCCATGATGGTTTTGGCCACTTTATTATATACTCGATAGGCTCTGCTGTTGGTGGAATATCCGAGAAAAATTCCTTTGTCGCTTTTTGGTTCGAATTTAGAAGCAGGATTCCTATCTTTCAAAATAAAACAACGTGAGCCGAAAATATGAAAATAAGTAATGTTCGGCTTCTTACCTTTCCAAAGTTCGTACGGAGTTTGTGTTGTACCCGGACGTAGGTAAACTCTGTTGATGATGTGACATGCAGTGTTTACAGCCTCCGCCCAGAATTTTTGTGGTAATCCTTTGGCGTTGAGCAATACTCTACCCATCTCCTGGATGATACGATTTTTCCTTTCCACAACTCCGTTTTGTTGTGGAGTTTTCGGGGCTGAATACTCATCTGCAATCCCTGATTGATCACAAAAATTGTCGAACAGCTTGTTTTCGAATTCTCTGCCGTGATCGCTCCGGATTCTACTGATGGATTCGTTTCTTTCTTTGTGAAGTTTTAATCCCAGTGTTTTGAATGCCTCAAGGGCCTCGGATTTTTCCCTGAGAAACATAACCCAAGAAAAGCGAGAAAAATCATCAACGCATACTAGTATATATTTCTTACCTCCAAAACTTTCTGTCTGAGTTAGTCCAACGAGATCCATGTGTATCAATTCCAGGCACCGGCTTGTGTTTATGGTGTGTTGAGCTGGGTGAGCTGATCTGATTTGTTTCCCAGCTTGGCAGGCACCACAGATAGTTGACTCTACTTTCATCTTCGGTAGCCCACGAACACCTTCTATTTTTACAAGTTTATCGAGAAGTCTATAACTAAGATGACCCATTTTTTGATGCCATAGCTCAGCTTCATTTATGCTGGACCTGCAACATAGCACATTATTTGTTAGAATATAGCAATTATCAGTTGATCGTTTACCTTCCATGACACATTGATTTGTGTTGTCCATCACACTGCAGCTATTTTTAGTAAAACACACGTTCCAGTTTTGGTCGCACAATTGACTAATGCTAATAAGATTAGCGTGAAGTCCACGGACAAGTAACACTTTGTCCAGTTTTGGCAAACCAGCTACATTTAAAGTGCCTACGCCAGTCACTTGACCTTTGACACCGTCACCAAAGGTAACTTCACCGTTACTGGTACTGACGTTGTTCAGGAATTTTACATTCCCTGTCATGTGACGGGAACAACCGCTGTCAAAATACCATTTCTCTACTCATCCTGCACTTTTAGTATGAAATGAAACAAAAGATATATAATCAGCCTTTTTGACCCAAATCTGTTTTGTGAACGGTTGAATGTTCTTGTGCCTGAACTTCTCAATCATTTGATCCTTGTAGAAGTAGTAGCATTCAGGTCTGGTATGTCCGCGTAACCTGCAATAGTGACAAACGGGATTATATAGCCTATAACTCATCTTATTTAAGCTTACTTTACCATAGGAGCGTTTCACAGTGCTGCATTCAGGGATGTCGTCTGGATCAGGTCCAGATGCTTTGACAAATACAGTCTTATCTTTGGAGTTACTGCCAGTGAAGCCCAAACCAAATTTTGCAGAAGTTTTCCTGCCGGAATCAAGAATCTTATCGAGTGTTGAAGTGGTATCCATCATTTGGATTTTTCGTTTGTAGGTGCTGAGCTCCTGTTTCAAATTCTGAACTTCTTGTTGAAGTTTTGCTTCTCGGTCAGCTGCTTCCTTAAGAAGTACATTTCCGATTTGTACTTCGTTTTGTAGTCTTTCCTCTCGACCTGCTGCTTCTTTAAGCAAAATATTCCTATCAGCTACTTGATTTTGATAAACTTTATTTGCATTCGTTACAATCTCTATTTCACTAGCTAGTTTGCAGTTCATTTTTCTTAATGCTTCCCATTTGGGATACAACTTATTAAATTCAGCTTCAAAAGAAAAAACATTTTGTTCCATATCTTCTGCAGAGACAAAGTCACCACCTTCTGAGTCTTCAACAGGTTCTGAACTGTCAGTAAATCGTGCCGTAAATGCAACAAAATTACTCGCAATTTCCTCGACATCTGACCCAGTTGGTTCAACGTCGGGCTCGTCATCGCTCCAGGTTGTACATGTCCAAATCCCTCGCATTCATAACACTTGATGCCTTTGTTGTTGAACCTTTCTTTGGACTGTCCTGGACGTGAGATAGACTGTTTGGCGTTTGACGCCCCTGTCCTAGGTGCAGTCTTGAATGACGTGGCTCCCTTTTGTGAATTTGTGTTGCGTGTGTTTTTGGATACCTGTTTCAAAATTTTGGAAAACAGTTTAGTTAAGAACGCAACGGTATCATCACTAGTTTCATCTGTTTCAAACACTACATTATTTTCTTCAGCGGCAAAAGCAATATTTTTTTGTTTTTTCGTATGATTAGTTAAAATCTCCATTTCATATGTTTTAAGATTTACCATTAGCTGAGTAACAGATTTTTTCTCCCCGCCATCATGCTCTTGGATGGCTGTGACTTTCATTCGGAACCTGGGCGGTAAAGATCTCAGTATCTTGTTGACAAGTTTTTCTTGTGAGAATGGTTCACCAAGGACCATTGCGCGATTTGCCAGTTCCTGTACGCGTGTATGAAAGTCGATGACTGTCTCATCCTTGTTCATGCGCAGTTCTTCGAATTCTGACTGGACCAGTTGCAGCTTTGACTGTTTTACCGATGTAGTTCCTTCGTA